ACAACACCATCCCCACCAAAGATGTACACTGCTTTTCCAATAACAAACCCTGGATCACCAGCGACCTGAAGGCTCTTCTGAATGACAAGAAGAGAGCCTTTAGGAGGGGGGATAAGGAAGAGGTCAAGCGTGTACAGAGGGAACTAAAGCAGAAGTTAAGAGAGAGCAAGGACGCCTGCAGGAGGAAGGTAGAGGACACGCGGCAAAGGAATAGGGTGAGGGATCTATGTAGCAGCATGAGAGAGATCTCTGGCTTCAAACAGGCTGGGAGTGCAATGGAGGGGAACCTGGAGATGGCCAACGAGTTGAACCAGTTTTTTAACAGATTTGATTCAGGGTCCTCTGTGGCTCGACAGCCATCCCCACACAGCCACAAGCTCCCTAAGCCTTCACAGCTGCAACTGCCCAACACCTCCTCCGTCCCCCACAATCATGGCCGCCTACAGCTACAACCCCCGACAGCTACTCACCCCCCCATCCCCCACAGCTGCCACTCTCCAACACCTCCGCCATTAACACCTGCAGCACTGACAGCGCTACGAGCACCATCCCCCAGGCCAGGCTGACCATCACGGCTGACCAGGTGAAGAGGGAGCTGAAGAGGCTGCACCAGGGTAAGGCCACGGGTCCAGACGACATCTGTCCCAGAGTTCTGAGGGCTTGTGCTGATCAGCTGAGTAGAGTGCTCCAGTGACTGTTCAACCTGAGCCTGCGCTGGGAGAAAGTCCCGGTGCTCCGGAAGACATCATGCCTGGTCCCGGTACCAAAGAAAGGGCGCCCCTCTGTCCTCAATTACTACACTGGAGAGGCTGGTCTCATCCCACCTGAGACCCCTGGTTAGCTCATCACTGGACACCCTACAGTTCGCCTACCAGCCCAGTGTTGATGTGGAGGATGCAATCATCTACATGCTGCAAAGGGCCTCCTCATACCTGGACAAGGCTGGCAACATCATAAGGATTATGTTTTTTGACTTCGCCAGTGCCTTCAATACCATCCAGCCCTTACTTCTAAGGAGGAAGCTGGAGGAGATGCAAGTCGATGCCTCCATGATCTCATGGATCACTGACTACCTGACAGGCAGACCACAGTCTGTGAGACTTCAGAACTGTGTGTCTGAACAGGTAGTAAGTAACATAGGAGCTCCTCAGGGGACGGTTCTTTCTCCGTTCCTCTTCACCCTCTATACCTCAGACTTTAAATACAACTCAAAGTCATGCCACCTGCAGAAGTTCTCAGATGACTCTGCAGTTGTGGGATGTATCAAGGGTGGGCAGGAGAAAGAGTACAGATTTGTGAAGTGGTGTGGGGAGAACCACCTGCAATTGAATGTTGCAAAGACTAAGGAGTTGGTGATAGACTTCAGGAGGAAGAGGGTCCAACCTACTCCTGTCTACATCCATGGGAGTGGCGTGGAGATGGTGGACTCGTACAAGTACTTGGGAGTGCACATCGACGATAGATTGGAATGGTCTAAGAACATTTACAAGGCCATTTACAAGAAGGGTCAGAGCCGACTTTACTTCTTGAGGAGGTTCAGGTCCTTCAATGTGTGTAGTAAAATGCTACATACTGTATGTTCTATCAGTCGGTGGTGGCGAGCGCCATTTTCTACGCGGTGGTATGCTGGGGCTCTGGGATTAGAGCAGTGGATTCCAACAGGCTGAACAAGCTCATCAGGAGAGCAAGCTCTGTCATTGGGTCTGGCCTGGACCCCCTGGAGGTAGTGGCTGAGAGGAGAATGGTGTCCAAACTAGAGGCCATCATGGACAACATCTATGTAGATGCTTCTAGAAATGAAGAGCACGTTCAGCAATAGACTGATTCATCCACGGTGTGACAGGGAGCACTACAGGAGGTCATTCTTGCCTTCTGCCATAAGACTGTACAATGCATCCACCTTGCATCTGGGCAGAGGCAACATTGACAGTGACCTCTTTCTGGACTGAACAGTAAACTGATACATCTGTTCTTTTTCTTTTCCCGTTTTAAAACCGTTTTTGTGCAATTTATGCCAGGGACCTGTACAATACATTTATATTTATTTATAGTCATATTATGCAATACGACTTTTTTGTGTACTGTTCTGTTCTGGTTTTGTTCTTTTCTTTGTGTGTTCTGGACTGCGAGTAACTCTTCTATTTGTATTATTATTATTATTGTATCATTCGTTACACTGTGTCTTTGTTGTCTGTGTTAAGCTGCTGTTGCACTGCAATTTCCATCACGGGATCAATAAAGTATCTATCTAAATCACTTAATCAAATGGCCAAAATTTTCCAGGAGCACAAGTTCAGATTGTACCTGCAGTTTTGGGCAGTAGGGTGGCGCATTGGGCAGCATCGCTACCGTGTAGCACTGGGGCCCTGGGTTCAATTTCTGGGGTGCTATTGGTGTGGAGTTTGTATGTTCTCCCTGTTTTCAAGTGGGTGTCTTCCAAGTACTCTGGTTTCTTCCCATAACCCAAAGACATATTGATGGGTTAATTGGCATCTGGGCAAACTGGCCAAGGTGTGAATGTGTCTGTGTTTGTGATGGGCTGGTGTCCCATCCAGGATGTTTCCTGTCTTGAGCTTGTTGCCATCCCACCCTGTATTGGAAGAAGTGGTCAGAAAATGGACAGATGGGTTCTATGGGAGTAGATTTTATATTACTTTAGGTGTGAGTGTGTGCCAACAAGAATACACTTTTTTATTGTAGAGTGTAGTTTGTTGTACTCCACTTACTTAAATTGAATTGATTTTTTTACCTCACTCTAATATCTGTTCAGATAAACTGAGTAAAATCTAATTTGCCATATCTAGAATTTTCAGTTTATCTAGTTGAAATCTACTAGAATGACTTTCAGATATACATGACTAATTTCATGGAAAGACTGCATTAAAATTGATATCTGAATAAATTTGATGGTCTGTTGCACACAGCTAACACTATGCCCTTTGATAATTTAAGTTTTACCACTTCAGATGGAGACCCTTGATTTTTTCAGTTATTTACCTGAATGTGACTTTACTCCTCTTCCATCATTCCTGGCACCACAGATTGCCTTTCCCTTCTAACACTGTAGTCCTCACCACAGCTGTCTGTCTGCCATGTTTTATTCGCTCTCAGTACATCAAAACTGATTGGAGTTTCTGACATTGCTCTTTAATGTTGGGCCTGTTAAGTCTGATGCTCAGGATGACTCAAAATTTCCTTAAACTACAAGACTGAAGTGATGGTTCTTGGCACGTTCCTTCAACTAGATAAAGCCAGTTCAGTATTCTTATCTGTGGATGGCACTGTAGTTGAATTTCATTCTAAATTGAAAAACTTGGGAGCAATATTTGATCCAGGCTTGACGTTTGACACACATGTGCAAAATTGTAAAAACCTCCACCTCAGAAATATCACCAGATTACGTCCTATGTTGTCTCTAACTGTAGCTGAAAAGCTCGTCAAAACTTTTGTCTTCTCTCAAATTGATTACTATAACGCCCTACTCACTGAGGTTTCTACAGTAAAAACAAACTGAACAAACTTCAGTATATCCAGAATTCTGTAGCCAGAGTCATGACCATGTCTAGTGCAATTGATCACATTACTCTTATCCTGGAGTCCTTGCACTGGCTTCCTATCAGGTTTCATGTCTACTTAAAAATTATCATGCACACTTATTAAGACTCTACATGGCTTGGCACCTCAGCACCTGACTTACGTTCTACTCTCCACCTCGCAACCTTCACTCATCTAATTCTGGTCTCCTGTCTGTCCCCCAAGCCTATTTACACTCTGTGGGTGACAGGGCCTTCTCCTGCTGTGTCCCACAGTTCTTGAATTCTATCCCTTCCATGAGCACCTTCAGATCAAGACTCAAAACATTCTTCTTTAGAAGGACTTTTATTTAACTCTTCTTGTATGCCTGTTTGATTTCCCACTGTGTTTCAAATCCTCACTGAAATTGTGCAATTTTGCTGTCTCCCCTCATT